CGACGGCGGCGGCGGCGGCGGCGGGGGCGACGGCAGCATGCTGGGCGAGAACGCAACCGACGAGGAGCGAAAGCGCGGCGCGGCCGGCGGCGGCGGCGGTGGCAAGGCGGAGCGGCCCTGCAAGTTTGTCAGCACGTACCGGGGCGGGCGGCCGGCGGCGTACCGCTGAGGGGGCTGCCCGCCTTGCTGGCGCCGACGCCGTCGGGGACCCCTAGTAATGTGTATGCAGCGTGTAGTGTGTGACAAATGCTTGATTGATGCGCTGTCGATTGACCCCTCACAAGAGTGTCTCCCCTTGCGCCCGCCGCCGCACGCCCGGGCGGCATGAGCACTTGTTGCTTCCGTGTGGGAGCCGCAGGCGTCGCTCCTCCATCTGTACCAATGCACTGCCTCTTTGTCTCGGCGTTCCCTGCTCGATCCGCTTGCCTGCCAACAAACTAGGCTCGATTCTCAATTCACAACTGTGTTTCGCATGCATGCAGCGCACTTAGCCGGTGCTGGTCGGCGTGTCCCTGTGTCAGTGCGGGGGCAGCGCGTTTCGGGCCATCCCTGCCTTTGTAACCGGTGTCTCAGCTGCCCCCCCCCCCCTGTCGCTGCTGCTGTGCTGCAGTTTGTGGCTGCATGAGCGCGCCCTGGCTCCCAAAAACTCGCACCGCCCCCGCTGCAGGAAGCTTCCGCCTGGCCGCCAAGCTGTCAGGAGATTACTGCGCGCCGACGAGCAGCTATTACTACTTATCATATCATGACTAAACCGTCGCTGCGCCCGGCGGCAGCGGTGTGCGCCTCGCCTGCGGCGTGCGCTGAACTGCTTTGATTCGAAGGGGATCAGAGGGCCGTGCCCGCCAACGCACGTTTCGCAGCGCGTGGGGCCTGCAGCTGCCCTCCACCGCCCAGGGGAAAGGCACTGCAGAAGCAAAGAGGAAAGCCACAACAAGACGACCAAAAAGCGACACGGCTGCAAAACATTGAGATCCCCGGAGGGCCGAAAGCAGGGGAGAGCCCCGGCAGCGCTGCGGGGTCGAGCTAATTTGTCAACAGCACGCGCTCCCGCGCGCGCGCCCCCGGCACCCACAGCGCGAGCATGATCGTGCCGCTCGCCGCCATCAGCCGCCGCGGCGCCCACGCGACGCAGCGCGGCGGCGCGTCCGCGGCCGCCTCGCGCCACGCGGCAACCCGGGCGCCGGTGGAAGTCGACCAGACGCCGACGGCGCCCGAGTCGTCGCAGCCGCTGATGAGGTATGCGCCGTCGAAGCTTAGGGACACCTGTGGACGGTGGCACGCGCCGCAGGCA